TTAGTAACCCTAGGGGGAATGAGCAAATGTTCTTCACGATAGATATTAATCGGTAGTTCATTACATAACAAAATAGAGCACACAACCTCCAGCTCTATCATCTAATTGACACGAAATCATCACATAGCTAAAAATTAAGAATTCAAACATGTACATAAGACCTTGTACAACTAGCTATACAACAACTGCAACAAATGTTAAAATTTAATATATCCGGCACAAATTAGCTCCTTTTCGAATGATCGATCAAGTACATCAGCAAGTAAAAAAGGAAACTGCGAGATCTTAATAGAAACCTGTTGAGAGGAAACATCTGCGGTTCGAGGCTTGATTAGAAGGTGGAGATGAGGAGGGTACTGTGCGAGAACTACGCAATCGTCGCCATAAACCGATTCTGCAGCTTCGACTTCGATTAATACCTCGTCTTCTTCTGCCATTAGCGCCTGATTTTGTGGGGATTTTCACCCCCAAATCTTTGGAATCAGTCTGGTGGTCGGTGTGTACGTATACGCCTCTTCTGCTGTTGGGTTGATTTTGCTGATGAATTCACAAATAGTCCCTAAATTTGAGGCCTTGAGGGCACTCACGATGCATCTTTTTTTCGAATATCTGCGGATCCATTTCTAAAAGCTTTCTTTTTTTGGATTATTTGCTTGTAACTTTTTATAACTTTTAATATCACTAGTTATATGGTCAGGTTTTAGATCAAAATCAAACCACAAACATGTATTAGTTTTTGTAATCTTAAGATCCTAATGTGTGGTTTTCAAATGATGCAGTTTCAAGTTGTGTGGTTTCGGTTTTAATTTTTTAAACCACATAATGATCGTGTCGCGATTATCGGGATTTTTAGGGTTTCGAGAGTGAAAGATGGTTGCGAATATTTCTACTATGGTACGATTTTAAAACCACGAGAGACTAGAAATGAAGCATTTTTTATTAAATGTTTAGCCTTTAGCCCTTTCTTTATCCCACGCATGTTAGAAACATGAAGCGATTTTTATTTTTTTAGTTGTTCGACTCACAATCAAAAGTTCGTTGAAATTATAGTCTTGGTCAACAAATACAAGGTAGCCGAGACTATTCGATTATTATGAGTTATTATGTTGCATTTGATATTTTGATTCACAAACAAAATATGACTTTATTAGGTTAATCCTACCAACTGTTTTCTAAAAAATCGTCAAATATTAGCAAATTGACAAAAATAGTCATCATTTTCGTAGGTCGACTCCTACAAAACTTTAGATGGTCAGCGATTTTATTTTGTTTTCTAGATTTTTAAAGACGTATATTTGCAAAAATCTAGGTTTTTGCAGGTGGTGACTTGGGAAAAGCTTAGGCCCTGTTTGATTTGGATATGAGTGGGTTAGCTCAGACAAAATTATCTAACTCGGTCATTACGATGTGTTTGATATGCCTAAATTTTGCATTTGATTGGGTCAATAATGTCTTACTCACTCATACAAAAAAAACAAAAAAAACAAAAAAAAAAAAAAAAAAACAAACTTGCTGACTGAATCTGATTGAAATTCATTCCATCATTGCCCCTGAACCAATATCACTCTCATCCTCCATCATCACATCCATCGATTTAATTCCTGGAAAGGGAAAAGAAACATGAACATATACAACAAACGGGGTGGTCTGGTGGAGCATTAGCAAAACAGAACCAAGAAAGGGGAAGGAAGGAAATCGGCCGGTTATGGCAGATCTGTTGAGGAAGGAAAACGGCGGCAGCAAACCGAGGAATGCTGGAGGAAGCGGAGGAGGCAGCTGGTGGCTGTTGTCGAAAACAGTGGTGTTGAGCGGGACTGCTCAGGCAGCTCGTCTTGCTTCTTTCCTGACCCGACAAAACGAAAAGGAAATGGGTGTGGCTTCAACAGGAAGAAGAGGAGCAAGAGGCTATTGCCTATGTGATCTCGCCCGAAAAAAAGAAAACATACACAACCGGTGGTGTGTTCTTAACAGCAAGAAGGAAGAAAGAGAAAGAGAAAGGAAAAAGAAATCATACCCAAGGATTACGATCAGATGAGATAATGTATATAACATCTTTATTATTATTATTATTAATATTATTATTATTATTATTATTATTATTATTATTATTATTATTATTAAACCAGGGTAAAATGGTCATTTTACATGAGTCAATACATTCGGTCAGATGTACAATCAAACAACATGGTTTCTTACTCGGTTAGAATTTATTACTCAGACAGATCTTTTTCAATCAGTACTTTCTCACTCAGTAATTATCAAACAGGGCCTTAGTCATCATCGTCTGCAGAAACCTATAGAAGCATGTATTTTCTTTATTAAAAAAAAAAAAAAGAGTCTACACCGCAAAAATTAATACAATGTATTAAATAGTTATTTTAAATATATCAATTTTTAAAAAAAAACATATACATCTTTCTTTTATCTAGTTTTGTTAGCAAACTTTTCCATATTTGTTTGTCTGGTTTTGTTGGCAAATTTTTGCATATTCCTTTGTTTGGTTTTGCTAACAAACTTTTCCAAATTTGTTTGTCTGATTTTGTTAGCAAATTCAACAGGTTACTTTTTTTTTTATTTTGTTAAAAACATCTTAAATTATTCAAGATGAGTATTTTATTGTTCCTTGTATCGGTGGTTGATGGTGGTTAGAAAAAAGATGAATTTACATGTGTTACAACGTTTGTCGTAAACTTCGGTGTTGAATTTTTGTTCAAAATAAATCTCCCATGTTTATTAAGTTTGGAAAAATAAATGAAAAGTTTGGAAGATATACCTAATATAAACTTGTCATTACCACACTTCATAATGAAGCATGTTATATAGATAGACAATGAGGGCCATGTGAAGTACTTAAAAAAGATTATTCTTCAATTTTCTGCTCATATACGTAATACATCTATATTTGATGGATAATGATCCAATTGAAAAGGTATATATTGTCCAATATAATGTTATAAATCAATATGTTGTTGGTGAGAACCTAATATAAATTTGTCTTTCCAATACCTCAAACGACATTTGGACTTGGTTCCTTAGGAGATTGAAGAAATGTATTATGGTGTCACATTCAAAAAATACGACCCAAAAATTTTTGTTTTAATAATACTAAAATCACATCATCGATAACATACCAACAAAAATTGTGGATCAAGTATCCAAAAAGGTCATAACAAATGTAGCATAACAATTGTATCAAAACATATCACAGTTTTTGATGAAAACTCCCAGGATAAGGAAAACTGAAACTGTGGTGTGTGCGAGGCTATCATCCCGAGCTCCTCCCCTTACTAGCGGAAGTACCTGAAACCAAAACTGAAACTGTAAGCACGAAGCTTAGTGAGCTCCCCCAAACTACCACATACCATACAATAACATATAAACACATATTAGTCCCCGCCCACTGTATCGGGCCCCGCCCACTGCATCGGGCCCCGCCCGGCATCAAGCCGAAGTCCGGAATAAACTGGATATAACATATCATGAACATATAGCGTAATCACATTCTGTATCGGGCTTGCCCGACATACTACACATAACAAAACATGCATGAATCACAAAGACATCAAGCATACATACTACTGCATCGGACCGGAGTCCAGAACTACTGTTAATAAAGGGGCCAGCATTGTGGTAGTAGACCTGTTCCTACTGGAAGGAAACTCACCTCGTAACTCTAGTTGCTGAGATGATAAATCCGAAGCTGGATGACTATTGCTCCAAAACTCCCCGACTACAATTTCCATAAACACTAAATTAGTTATCGATAATTGAACTATGGTTATAACGACCATTTTACCCCTAATCAAGTCAAAGTCCTTATTCCAGGTCATCCGCCCATGCTTAACTCGCCGAGTACCTGAGGCTAATCGCCGAGTTCCTTAAAACTCCTTCCCACTCGCCGAGTCACTAGGGTGACTCGTCGAGTCCTTACGATTTTCAATCAAACCCTTAAGGCTACTCGTCGGGTTTCCTCTAGTAACATGACGGATACACACACATTCATAACTTGGGGAAAACTCATCTGACTCGCCGAGTTGTTCATACGACTCGCCGAGTCTATGGCAATCTTCATCGGACTCGTCGAGTCCACGACTATCTTCATATGACTCGCCGAGTCAAACTTGAGACTCGTTGAGTCCATTCAGTCCTTTATCCATACAGACTTGTTTTGGGTCATGCAGCGGCTCCAAATCACAGGTCCAAGCTTCTATGGCATGCTTTTCACGTAAATTTGCAAACTTTACGTGCATGCATGGCTATAAAGGCTCTAAATGCCTAATTTAAGTTCTTCGTGGAGCTTCATGCTCAAGAGGGACTTTAATCACGACCAAGATTGCAACTTTATGCTTCTAGGACCCAAGGAGGGTCCAAATCTAAAGTTACAACTTCAGATCTAGCCCATAACTCATCTTATCAACTTAACATTCCATAAAAGAAACCCTAGAACTCAACCAATCGAAGAGATTTACAAGGAAAAGGCGATTTGGATACCTCCAGAAGATGATAACTGAGATAAGTGTTGATTCCCACTCTTAACTTGCTCAAATCTCCTTCTCCTCCAAACCTTCTCCCTCCAAAGATCCTCTTTTCAAGCTTCAACACACAAAAGGGCACACATACGGATTAGGGTCTCACAAAAAGCTTTCTAGACTGTAAAGAGGCTCAAAGGGGGCTGAGGTTCCTTTAAATAGGGTGTAAAACCCCGAGAATTAGGGTTTCATCTGCTAACACCTACTCGTCGAGTCCCAATATGGACTCGCCGAGTAGGTCACTTATCACGCGATCCCACCATGTTGCTATTCGATGAGTAGGGCAACCAACTCGTTGAGTAGGCCTTAACCCAAGAAATCTTATTTAAACCATACCTGAGGATCGGGGCAGTACAATTCTCCCTCACTTATTTTAGACTTCGTCCTCGAAGTCTGCTGCAGATGAAACTAAAAACAACTCTGGATAGTGCTCCCTTATCTCTTCTTCGGTCTCCCACGTCCACTCAGAACCCTTCCAGTGCTGCCACTGCACCTTCACTAACTGAACCACCTTGTTCCTCAAAGTTTTCGCCTTCCAATCTAAGATCGCAAATGGTCTCTCAATATAATTCAGGCTGCTATCAACTTGAATATCCTCAAAGTGCACAACTGATGACTCGTCCACCAAGCACTTCCTCAACTGAGAAACATGGAAGGTGTTGTGGATCTGGCCAAGCTCTGCTAGAAGATCCAACTGATAAGCAACCCGACCCACCCGGACCAAAACCCTAAAAGGACCAATGAACCTGGGGCCCAACTTTCCCCTCATCCGGAATCTGATGACACCCTTCCAGGGTGATACCTTCAGGAGAACCATATCGCCCACCTGAAACTCCAAGTCCGAGCGCCTCCTATCAGCATAACTCTTTTTCCTACTTTATGCAGTTTGTAGTCTACCACGAACCTAC